GTCTTTGAATTAGGATTTGCTGTTGACCTCAGACATCTGTTAGAAGAACCCAGAGGTCTTACTGTCTCAAGATATTAGTAAAGCTTGAAGATCTTAGGGAAATGGTGAACTGCATGAAAGCCTGAACATCCTCGTTACCTCACTTCACTCTCAAGAGACAACACCTTGAGCTGTAAAACCTTAAAAATGTTCTAGCATTATCATTTTTATCTAAGTGGATAACGAGTCTTGGGTTCATAGGGCCATAACCTACACAGAGAGGAAGACTTAAAACAGTTATCTGATATATGCTATACCAGCTTTCTCAGAAAGGGAAGAGACACACAGAGAACGAATGATGAATATAAGCCTTCTTTCCTCTAAAAGCAGCAAGAAGGTTAGTCTGGCCTCAAGAAACTTAGTTTCAGTAACATTATGTTAAGTAACATTATGTTAAGTAACATTATTTTAAGTAACATTATTTTAAGTAACATTATGTTACTGTGACATTATGATTGTGCATTACTTATTAGCACTGGAAAATTAATTGTGTCTTTAACTGTGTCTTTGGCCTGGAAACCCAGCAAGGTTGAGATGTCTGACAAGACAGGGGATTCCTTTGACTAAATGCACAACTCTGGCTGAGCCTACATGCCTACATCCCTAAGATCCCAGGAGAGAGACAGGTCCATAAGAGGCACTTTCGCTGACTGTAACACAAGCATTTAAACCAGTTCAGGGAAGGAGAACAGAGAGGAACAAGCACTCCCTTGACAAAATCACCCAAAAGCCCAGTTCAGGGCAAGTGCTATGGGTGAGCCATCCTGTGTTCATTTTCTAGTACATACAGCTGACCAGCAGGTGGTACTGCAAGGAGTAGGGACGGATGATACCCAAGGAGAGCAGCGCATACAAGGTAATACAGAAGGGTGAGTTTAAGTCTTGCTTTTGTTGAAGGTTGAAGGCTAGTCCCAGGAGACACAATCGTAGATGGAAAGCTGAATAATTGGGCAGAGGAGTAACTGGTAACTAAACACATCACTCCTTGGGCTTTGAATAAAGGTCACCTAGATTTACTGTTACTACTTGATTATGTAAAGATTCCTCAACCCTTTCCAACACAGTGTTTTAACATGCCATAGTTATACAGGTTTGAAATGAAATATGATGCTAAATACAGTTATACATGTCAAATGTGGTGTTGGTATAGCATTTATAAGAAGAATGCACAGACATTGACATGCTTTGTAGAAGTAAGGTAAATTTAAGCACAAGCAAACTATTGCATTGCAAATAAATAATTTTCCTCAATGAAAAAAAGTGGGTGTTACAATGCTATTGATTAGCACTGCCTATTCCAAGGAAGTGTTTGCCCACTATGCTATGAGGATTACATCATCCATTACTTCATGCTAAAATCTGGTGAAACTAAAAAGAAACACAAAGTTCCCTTCCCTGTCTATGGGCAAACAATGATCTCCATTCACTTCTCAGTGATGACTGAATGGCAGGAAACAATATAACAAAAAGGTCATAAAACCTGCAGAAGATATAAACTTCCTGCCTATTATTTCTGAACTGTTAGGACAGGCTAGAGCAATGGGTCGTTACAAAGTACATTCCAACTAATAACAGAAAGACTAAGTTCCCATAAAATAATTACGAGAGAATGTACAAGTGGCTGGGAAACCTACCATGCCCTAATGCTCTTTGGAATTCAACTGAAATGGATGGAGTGATACAGAGGAAACTATACAAGTACCTCTTTCCTTCGGGATGGACAGCAGATGGATTTATCATGCTTGTAGAGTACTAATTCTTTTCATGCATACAATGCCATATATCATGTCATTTGTGGCACAGATCATTACAGCTGTTCCTAGAGATCCTTCTATACCAAAACCCCAGCTCCCAAGCTTAGTTTGGCGCTTACAACTTTCAGCTTTATATTTCTGTTATTCCAATCCAACACAACTGTTTTTTTCGGGTCCCTCCATACCAGGCAGTGTTTAGAAGCAAGATATTTCATTTCACCTCCATCCCCCCCCCCTTTTTTTTTTAATCCCAGTTACTAGTTAATTGATTCTGATCTACAAAGAAACAATTAAATATTTTAAAGTTCGGTGCTAGGAGGGTGGAGCCAGAACCTTTTCAGTGGTGCTCAGTGACAAGACGAGGAGCAATAGCCATAAACTAAAACACAGGAAGTTTCACTTCAACAGGAGGAAGAACTTCTTTACACTGAGGGTGGCAGACTGCTTGGGCAGGCTGACCAGGAGGGTTGTAGAGTCTCCCTCTCCAGAGACATTCAAAACCTGCCTGGAAGCATTCCTGTGTAACCTGCTCTAGGTGGCCCTGCCTTTACAGAGGGTCAGACTGGATGATCTCCAGAGGTCCCTTCCAACCCTAATGGTTCTGTGGTTTTGTGATTCTGTGAATTATTCTTTCTGTTGTAGTCACGCTGTTTATTTTGCATTAGCTCTTGAATGTAAGAAAGATATTATGTTGAAATGACAGGGCAAACACCTCTGTGCAATTCAGAGCAACCATGCTCCACCTAAGCCAAAGTTTTCAGTCTGTGATGAGTATTTATTTACATGCATCAATATGATATCACCACAAGCCAGAAAAACATTCAAACTGCCACATCAGGAAGTGAATACAAATCAGGGGTTCAGTTTCCCCAGCTTTCCTGATGTGTGATATTATTTGGAAAAATAGTGACATTTAGAAACTCTTGTTATGTCTTCCCTACAAATATTTATATTCTGTAGAGGTTTTCCTTAGAGGATGAAGATAAAATCTCACCCAAATTCATTTGTTGGAGAGAAAAAGAAAAAGGTACCAATAAAAACTGCTGATTACAATTTCTAGTCACATTAACGAGCATAATCAATATTTAAAATCAGCTTTGAAAATCTGAATATTTGTAGACTACTAATATGGTAATTTACTCAGTATTGTGCCCACTGGAGTTTGTGATGCACCTCTAAAAAGGACAGAGAAATAATTCAGCAGGATAACATGGAAAGGATGAGCAATATGAATTTGAGAAGAAACATTAAGTTAAAGGAACCCATCGTGCAGTAAGCCTGGTGGGAACTGTGTAAAGACCGAAAGTAGTGAAGATTAATGCCCCATGACATTCAGGTATCAGAGAGGGTAGAATTGATCTTATTAGTGAGGAACGGGTCAAGTGGCATGTTATAAATTATACTCTTGCCCTCTCAAAAGTCTTCTTTGTGCTTCTTACAGTGCTAGAGAAACAAATGCTAGAAGCCTTGCAGGAATTAAAGTGCAAGAGAGTTACTGTGGCATCTTATTTCTAATGCTGTATTTCTTAGCAGCCCTGGCAGCATGATAGAGAAGATAGCATTTAATTTAGTGCTGCTTTCAAACTGTACAGAAACTCCAGATTAATTTTGTTTTGACCTAGTAAACAGACATGGCTTCTAAACCCTAAAACCAGTTTGTGCTATAGTTTATTTCTCAAAACTTTTTTTTTTAGTTATACACATTAAGTATCATTAGTGAGCTTAAAAATATTACCTGTGGAATTTCTGAGACAGAAAACAACATTAGCCAGAAAGACAACTTGCAATAACTATTCCACAATGAGCTAGAAATAGCAGTACACTATATGCAGAATATATAAAGCAGCAAGATTCTTCAGCTAAAAAGATTTTTGATTTAAGATATAGCTGGAGGGGTAGAAGGGTCCGAAAGCTAGAACCTGAGAAGGAAATTCACCATAAACTAGAAACAGGTTAATTTGAGTGCTGTTAATCTGGGTACTGCTGGTTTGGTTTTATGAAACTGAGCATGTCTAAAGGCTAGAGCTTCAATCTCTGAACCTCAAAAAGACTTGTTTAGGACTGAAATTCAGCAAAGTTTGTGTGTGCATGCTTAAATTAATGCCATTTTGATTTAGAACAGTCTGTGTTTCATTCAAAATACTAAGTTCCAGTATCTTTGATATCGCTCTAGTAGATAACAGTCTCTTCTTCTTCATCTCCACTGTTGTTAACATTTACATAACCATGCAGGGAGCTAGACCATGGAAGTATCTGGATGAAGATTAACCAAAAAGAAAAATAAAATCAAAATCAGCTTTCTAAGCTGGTAGAAAAAGCTGCTGAGGAAAGGCAGTACCACCCTGTTCCCTGACAGCATTGTGCTGAGCTTCTTCAACTATATTCTTGCATTCAGAAGTAAATTTTTATTACAAATTTGTTAATTTTAATAATTAATTGTTTCAGTTAACTAAGTTCTAAGTTATTGTTCACTGTTTATAGAAGGAAGGAAGAGAGGGATGGGAGGAGGGAGGGAGGGAGGAAAGAAAGTTGGTTAGAAGGAATGGAATACATGCATAAAGAAAAAAAATCCACTGCCTAAGAAAAGAGCTGCGGCTGTATGAAATTATGCAGTGAGATGATTTTGAACAACGGTAAAAATACAGCAAATTTTAAAAAGTAAGTGTTCATAAAATGATCAATCTGGCTTTAATACCCTTTTGATTACGGCTTTGTGATCCAAGCAATACCACCTGCTATGAGGAACAATAATCAGACTGGGCATTAGTGTTATTAATAAAATGTGATATTTTTTTCTTATTTGAGTGTTCATAGCAAAACATGTAGGCTTTTAAATGTGTAACTAAATGTTACCTGCCGCCCCTGCTGGCTTCACTGTAAACAGTGCCAATTCCTCAACAAATTTTCTTTGAGTAATGCTGTGCTGTACTCAGCAAATGATTCTTAAAGCTCTGCAATCAGAAGAAATATGTGTTGAGTTTCGCACAGTCTTTAAAGCAGTAGAAACATTAACCACCTTCTTAGTTGCAAAATGCACACATTACCCCTTCGGATTTTGAGGCAGGAGTCTGAACAGCTTGTCAGTGAAGAAATACTATCCAAGCAACCCATGCCAGAACCCTCTGTAGAATGTACAGTACTTTACTACACACAGGAGGGGTATGTTTTATTGCCAATAAAAATATGATTTCATTAAGGACCTTTATCATATGCAACATTACATAAACTATCATTTTTACACTGCACAAATTCTCATTGAGATCAATTGGGCAAGTGTCCAACCCCCAGACTAGGGATGCTCCGTAATAAACAGAATATGAAACAGCAAAAATAGTTGTATTTCAAATAAATTATGACTTCTAGCTAATGTCTAGCATTGCCTTGTGAAGGATCGCATTTCCCCACTGAAGTCTGAAGTCATGGTTCCATAGCCCAGAAGGCCTCTGAGTACTCTCAGGTGTGTCTCACAGGGCTCTTCCATCCCAGAATGATGCTGAGGATTGCAAAAGAAGTTCCACATCAAGCAAAAGGCAGGTTTTCAGGGCAGCAGTTCCCAAGTAACAGAAAATATCTTTTCTGTCCACATTCCCTGAGAAAAATGGAAGAGACAATAGTTAGTAGACACTACTAATGGTATTGCACTGTATTATATTTTAATATGCTCCCCATTATTCTTCAAGTATGGTGCATTTGATGCAATACCAGTGCTTATCTACCTAAATCCTGTAATATCAGTGATTCAGGCTCTCTATTCAGTTCTGTAGAGTTACAAGAAATTAAAATACTGTGCACATATTTTAATATAAAAATGACAGCTATGTAACTGTCCTGGGCTCAGCAGTAGCAGTCATGTTTTTCCTTTGTGTTAGCTGGTGCAGTGCTGTGTTTTGACTTCCAGCCTGAGAACAGTGTTGGTGAAGCCGATGTTTTCGGTTGTTGCTAAGTGATGTTTACCCTGACCAAGGACTTTGTGAGGCTCATGCTCTGCCAGGGAGGAGGGGAAGCTGTGAGGAAGCAGAGATGGGGCGCCTGACCCAGGCTAGCCAGGGAGGTATTCCATACCACAGCACGTCATGGCCGGGGTGGGGGGTAACTGGGAGTTACCTGGAAGGACACGGGCTTCCGGGTGGGACTCGTTTTCTTGGCCGGTGGTATCGTATTCTCTTCCCTTGTTATTTTCCCTTATCATTGTTGTAGTTGGTGGTAGCGGTGGTGATTTGTGTTGTACATTGGTTGCTGGACTGTTCTTGTCTCAACCCGTGGGAGTTGCACTTTTTCGATCCTCCTCCCCGTTCCTCCGGGAGCGGGGAAGGGGAGAGCCCCGGTGGGGGGGGGAGAATGGTCCTACCTGGAGCCTCTGGCAGAAAGCTCCAGGGGAGACTCGAGGTCGACCCCTCGGCTTTTGGAGTCGGGGATATAAAGGATCTGAGGCCAGCTATACCCCAACTGAGAAAGAGATACTGGCAGCCTATGAAGGGGTTCGAGCTGCTTCGGAAGTGATTGGCACTGAAGCACAGCTCCTCCTGGCACCCCGGTTGCCTGTGCTGGGCTGGATGTTCAAAGGCAGGGTCTCCTCTACACATCATGCAACTGATGCTACATGGAGTAAATGGGCTGCACTAATTACACAACGAACTCGAATAGGAAATCTCAGTCGTCCAGGCATTCTAGAAGTCTTCATGGACTGGCCAGAGGGCAAAGATTTCGGAATGTCACCAGAGGAGGAGGTGATGCGCCCTGAAGAGGCCCCACCATATAATAAACTGTCAGAAAGTGAAAAGCAGTATGCCTTGTTTACTGATGGCTCTTGCCGTATTGTGGGAAAGCATCGGAGATGGAAGGCAGCTCTATGGAGTCCTGGACGACAAGTTGCAGAAACTGCTGACGGAGAGGGTGAATCGAGTCAGTTTGCCGAGGTGAAAGCCACCCAGCTGGCCCTGGACATTGCTGAACGAGAAAAGTGGCCAGTACTTTATCTCTATACTGACTCATGGATGGTGGCAAATGCCCTGTGGGGGTGGTTGAAGCAATGGAAGCAGAGCAACTGGCAACGCAGAGGTAAACCCATCTGGGCTGCTGCACTGTGGAAAGATATTGCTGCCAGGGTGCAGAACCTGGTGGTGAAGGTACGTCATGTAGATGCCCATGTACCCAAGAGTCGGGCCACTGAGGAACACCAGAACAACCAACAAGTCGATAAAGCGGCTAAGATTGAAGTGGCTCAGATGGACTTAGATTGGCAACATAAAGGTGAATTATTTTTGGCCCGGTGGGCCAATGACACTTCAGGCCATCAGGGCAGAGATGCAACATATAGATGGGCCCGTGACCGAGGGGTGGACTTAACAATGGACACTATTGCCCAGGTTATTCATGAGTGTGAAACATGTGCTGCAATTAAACAAGCCAAGCGGTTAAAGCCTCTTTGGTATGGAGGACGATGGTTGAAGTATAAATATGGGGAGGCCTGGCAGATTGACTATATCACACTGCCACCAACCCGCCAAGGCAAGCGCCATGTGCTTACCATGGTGGAAGAAACCACCGGGTGGCTGGAAACACATGCTGTGCCCCATGCCACTGCCCGGAACACCATCCTGGGCCTTGAGAAACAGATTTTGTGGCGACACGGCACCCCAGAGAGAATTGAGTCAGACAATGGGACTCATTTCCGGAATAACCTTATAGATATTTGGGCCAAGGAGCGTGGCATTGAGTGGGTATATCACATCCCCTACCATGCACCAGCCTCTGGGAAAATCGAACGGTACAATGGGCTGTTAAAAACTACACTGAGAGCAATGGGTGGGGGAACTTTCAAGCATTGGGATACACACTTACCAAAGGCCACCTGGTTGGTCAACACCAGAGGATCTGCCAACAGGGCTGGCCCAGCCCAGTCAGAACTTTTACATATTGTAGAGGGGGGACAAAGTTCCCGTGGTGCATATGAAGAATTCGCTGGGGAAGACAGTCTGGGTAATTCCTGCTTCAGGTAAAGGCAAACCCACTCGTGGGATTGCTTTTGCTCAGGGACCTGGATATACTTGGTGGGTAATGCGGGAAGATGGGGAAGTCCGATGTATACCTCAAGGGGATTTGATTTTAGGGGAAAACAGCCAGTGAACTCAATTGTATGCTGTTGCCTGCTGTGTAATGCTTTTATAGCCCATCAACTAGATGTCTCCAGGTCACCAGCGACTGGCCCTGACTTTCCTCCAGCCATCATCCCAACAGAGAATGAACTTTGAACATCATGGACCGAATGGACTCGGCAGCATTATAGGGATTGGTCCATGCACTAAGAAAATGATTTTTCCTCTTGGTCTGTATGTATATGGATGTATATATGTGGGAGAGCGATGGTGTATTGAAAGTGTGGGATCTGAGCACGACGTGAATGGTATGGAATAAGGGATGGATAATGCCCTGGGTTCAGCAGTAGCAGTCATGTTTTTCCTTTGTGTTAGCTGGTGCAGTGCTGTGTTTTGACTTCCAGCCTGAGAACAGTGTTGGTGAAGCCGATGTTTTCGGTTGTTGCTAAGTGATGTTTACCCTGACCAAGGACTCTGTGAGGCTCATGCTCTGCCAGGGAGGAGGGGAGGCTGTGAGGAAGCAGAGACGGGGCGCCTGACCCGGGCTGGCCGGGGAGGTATTCCATACCACAGCACGTCATGGCCGGGGTGGGGGTAACTGGGAGTTACCCGGAAGGACACGGGCTTCCGGGTGGAACTCGTTCTCTTGGCCGGTGGTATCGTATTCTCTTCCCTTGTTATTTTCCCTTATCATTGTTGTAGTTGATAGTAGCGGTGGTGATTTGTGTTGTACATTGGTTGCTGGACTGTTCTTGTCTCAACCCGTAGGAGTTGCACTCTTTCGATCCTCCTCCCCATTCCTCCGGGAGCGGGGAAGCGGAGAGCCCCGGTGGGGGGGGGGACACGGACCTCGATTGTTGTCAGCTCGGCACCACTCACTGGGAGTGAGTGAACAAGTTACCTGACTGGGTTTAAACCACGACAGTAAGTGACTTATTTACTCTGATGAAGACTGTCTTGCCTAGCTAAGCAGAAGCTAAATTCATTTAATTTTCCATATGGATGCTGTGTTTTATTGAGTTCTGTCATCCCTTTAAGGGCTCCTCCTGACTCCTTTCCTTCTGATTCTATCAAGGACTTTTTTTTTGTCACCCCTAGTTTCAACTACTATTAGCTCTCTCTTTACTTTATAGTTGGGATAACAGCACTGCTTGTCTTTCTAGACCATATTCATATAACCTCCTAAGGTCTCCTCTCTCTACGGATGTACAGAAAGAGGGATAGCTCTGATGTTTGCAGACACTTATTCTTACAATGACCAAAATGAAGAACAGATGAGTACAGCAAAGATGGGTCTTCTAGATTACAGCATGAAGCATGAAGATGAGAAGTTTCACAGCAACAGATGAAGTTGATTTGATCTGAGGTTAAGGAAATCAGTAAAAGACAGTTTCAATTTCTGCATTCAGTTGCAGAGCACAAAGAAGAAACATATTTATTCAAATTGCATTTAGGCATAGAGGTGTAGAATTTGTGTAAACCACGGGGTCCCTCTATAGTCAACAAGGGTGAGATTCACTTGACCAAGTGTAAATGTCCTTAATGGAAGCATCTACAGTTAAATCAATGATAAGAACATCCCGTATATAACCAAGAGAGAGAAAAAGGCAACTGAAAATGAATTTCTAAATTTAGTCAGAAGAATTATGCCCCAAAAATGTTTATTTCCCCACATTAATTTAACAGGAAACCTTACTATCTGCATTGTAGACCTCTAACAACAGGTGAGATGAATCACAGTAAGAGTCAAAGGTGCCTCTGGGGTGGAATGAAGTACCCACTGGAGAATAGTGTGTGTGGCTGGAGATGTCTTTCTCTGTCCCTATTTTTCTTTACTGACTTTAATTGTAAAATATACTACTATTTAGTAGTAGAATATGGATACTACTCTTTAGTAGTAAAATATGGATAAACCTATGTCAAGTATCTGACTTTAAAACTCAATATGTTGTCTGGGAAGTGTACAAGCCATAAATTTCATACATAATACGACAGTCACAAAAATTTAGTACCTAAGTCCATGTTTAGATTATAGTTTTTCAATTCTTTCAAAGTTACTGAGTTCACCCAGCTGTCTTTGTTCTCTGTGGAAAACATGTTCCCAGAACTTATACCTAAACTGTGTTTTTAAGAGGTCCATTAAATGTTAATAAGATACAGTGCCAATGTAATCTAATACATGTAAACAAATGACAAACTATTGAAATTAAAATAATGCAAACCAGATACAGCAATGAATTCTCTGAAATATTCTAAACGTGGTACCTTACCCAGAGGTTAGTACTAGGGCAGTCTTTTGTCTTCATCATAGACCTGTATGTAAAGAATACAGATTGAAGGAGGTGATCCTGCCCCTCTACTCTGCTCTCATGAGACCTCACTTGGAGTATTGTGTGCAGTTCTGGTGTCCTCAACATAAAAAGGACATGGAACTGTTGGAACAAGTCCAGAGGAGGCCACGAGGATGATCAGGGGACTGGAGCAGCACCCGTAT